AAAATAAAATTTCAACATAAATTTATCTGAAAAACTGATATGCAATGGCCACTAAGCACATGAAAAGATGCTCAATATCATTAGTCATTAACCAAATACAATTCAAAACCACCAAGATATACCACTTCACATCCCTAGGATGACTATAATTAAACAAACAAACAAACAAACAAAAAACAGGCTGAGCACAGTGGCTCACCTTTAATCTCAGCACTTTGGGAGGCCGAGGCAGGTAGATCACCTGAGACCAGTCTGACCAACATGGGGAAACCCTGTCTCTACCAAAACTACAAAAATTATCTAGGCATGGCGGCGGGTGCCTATAACCCCAGGTACTTGGGAGGCTAAGGCAGGAGAATCACTTGAACCCAGGAGGTAGAGGTTGTAGTGAGCCAAAATTACACCATTGCACTCCAGCCTGAGTGACAAAAGCAAAACTACATCTCAAAAAACAAAAAAACCAACCAACAAACAAAAAAACAACAGACAATAGCAAGTGTTGGTGAGGATGTGAAGTTGAGACTCTAATACTTCAGCTGGAAATGCAAAATGGTGCAGCCATTTTGGAAAATAATCTATAAATCTGACAGGGGTTGAAAGAATTGTGTTCATGGCTCCTTTACTAAATGGTTTAGGCTCACACCTAGCGTAAAGGCTGTGCTAACAAATTGTGAGCTCTCTGAGATGGGCTGCACGTAGTAGCCCCTTGTGGCAGAGGTGGTCCCCAACACTTAGTGGGCACTGACTCGGTGTTTTGGTGTTTTGGGGATTGAATGCTAAGACCCCTATGAGAAGTAACTTCCCTAGATCAGAACCAAGTCTCAGAAAAAGCAGCACAACCCTATTTCCATTTCCAGCTCTGCTGTGGTGTTATGTGTACTTTGTGTTGACAAAACCTTTTTAACTCTCAGGGAATTCTCAAACATGCCTTAAAATATAGTCCGAGTTCAAGAGCAACCTCTCCTGTTCATTACTTTAATACTCCTCCTTCTGCCCATCTCACCCTGAGGAGATTACTTAAATGCCCTGGCTTGTCTGGGTCCAACAGTCCTGGGCAGAACATGACTTTTCCACAATCATAGTTCAGACCTATATATGTAACAGGAGGTTAAAGCTAAAGTTCTGATAGATCTCAAGATAAAATTGTGAATTTCCAATGTGTCGTGCCAAATCACCATGTACAGAGTTTATAAGAAATGAATGAACTTGTCACATGATTCTTACAACCTCACACCACTTTGAGAACAGGAATATACAAGACTCCAGAATAGAGGGGAAAGCATTAGATGCAGAGGCTGTCTTCAAAGAAAGCTGGACTCTTTGCTGCATGCCCTCTTCTGACAAATCCAACATGGCGATGGATTCTTCAGTTGAAAATCTTAGAAGACCCAAGATGTTTCTCTTGGGAGTCCGTGGGTGCTCTGGACTTGGGTCTGACTCCTGCCAGAATATTAATGAGTGAAAAAAAATTTGCTCAACCGCTTTGGTGGCCATGCCAGGAAAGGGATGTAGCTTTCCCTGAAGATGGCAAAAGCTTTCAAAGTTTATTGAGCTCATGGATAAAAAAGTGTTTCCTGTGGGGCAGAGGTGGGCCACACAAGATTCAGAGATGGCAAAGGGTCATCTTGGTTTCTTTCTAATTGAATTGCCATGAAGAGAGCAGGATCCATGGCATTGAAAAGCTGGGGCAAATGCCAGGGACTAGAGAAACCATGAGTCATAGACAGAATAGAGTAACATCTGCTCAGCCTAGCAAACTCAGGAAAGCAGAGTACAGCCAAGGACTTGCAGAAAGCCTACAAAACCACTCTGCAAAAGAAAAAGTCATCTTTAAACATTGCTAGGTCCAGAAAGCAGCATGCTAGCTTTCTATGGTTCTAGTTCAAGCAAGACCTTTTCCTTTCCTTTTCTAATCTTTCTCTCCATCAACTGTAAGACATTCAAAATGGATAGCAAGTTAGAATAGGGGGTTGGGGAGAGGAGAGAGAGAAAGTTATTTGGCTATTGACCCTCAGTATCATTTCTGCCCTTCTTCCATGCTGAAATTCTGCAAACCACATTCTGCAGATCCCCTTGCTAGGAGTCTGGAGGGAGGATCTGTCAACTGAGGCATTGGTGGAACATGGAAAAGGGAAAGAAGCTAGTTTTTTCCTCCTCTAGCAATGCTGGCAACAGCAGCAGCAACAGCAATGGACAACTCCAGGCTTTGGTGTTAACTACGACCTTGAGCAGCATGGGTAGCGGTTTTGGCAATACCGCTGGGAGAGCAGCCTTCTGGATTTCTGCTCAGCAGAACCAGCAGGTCCCACAGCAGCAGAGTCCCATCTCTAGCAGTTGAGCAGCAACTGTGGGGTTACGAGCTCCAGCTCACAGCTTCCTCATCACTTTCCTTCTTTTGCTCCTTCAGCCTTTTCCCTTTGGAGCCAACGTGCTGCATTAAATCCCTCTCTATTGACATGTCTACAGCAGTGTCTATTTTTCTGACCAGACAATGTATGATATACTTCTTTTTTTTTTTAGACAAAGTTTCACCCTGTTGCCCAGGCTGGAGTGCAATGGGGTGACCTTCACCTCCAGGATTCAAGCGATTCTCCTGCCTCAGCCTCCTGAGTAGCTGCGATTACAGGCATGGCATTCACCACCATGCCTACCTGGCTAATTTTTTGTATTTTTAATAGAGACAGGGTTTGGTTGCCCAGGCTGCAGTGTAATGGGGTGACCTCTACCTCCAGGGTTCAAGCGATTCTCCTGCCTCAGCCTCCTGAGTAGCTAGGATTACAGGCATGCACCACTATGCCTGCCTGGCTAATTTTTTTAATATTTTTAGTAGAGACAGGGTTTCACCATGTTGGCCAGGCTGGTCTCAAACTCCTGATCTCGTGATCTGCCTACCTCAACCTCCAAAAGTGCTGGGATTACAGGAGTGAGCCACTGCACCTGGCCCACTTCCTTTTTAGATTATAAGTTTCAGCCTAAAGCAGGACCAGATGATATCTGGGGAAAAGCAAAGTTGAATCAAGTCCAACATTTAAATTTGTTTTGGAGTAGATATTCTAATTTCTGAACACCTGTTTGTTTGCCTTGTAAAGTGACAGTAGGTCTCAATGTTGCATAAGAGTGAGATGTGAAGTCATAAGCCTACCAAGGGCTAGGAAGATCACCTTTATGGAATAACTTTATAGTAATAGTAGGAGGCTACAATAAAACTGTGTTTTGATTGTGTCATGAGCCATGTTTGTATAACAAACTGCTTATATATGTAGACATGTGTGTTGGAGAAGTGGTCTGTCTTAATGACCAAAACGAGAGAGCAGAGTCTAAGACTGTGTAGTCACCAGGCTCCAAGGCGGCCCCCAATGGCCTCTTTCTATTCATGAGCTTGTAAAATGCCCTCCCACATTGAATTGGGCTGACTTGTGTAATTCATAGGATATTCTGGGGGGAAAAAAAAGACACTGCAGCTTCTGCCTTGCTCTCTGGTGGATCCCTGGCTCTAAAGTTCAGCTGCCTCATCACGAAGACTTTCAAGTAGCTCATGGAGATGTCCCCTTGATAACAAAGTGAGGCCTCCTGCCAATAGCCATGTGAGTGAGATCCTCCAGCTTCTGTAAAGACAATGACAGCCTTGGCAGACATCTTAAAGAGATCTCAAACCAAAATCACCCAGCTAAGTTGCCCTTGGATTCTTATTCCACAGATAGTATGTGAGATAATAAATGATTGTTGTTTTAGGTCTCTGAGTTTTGAGCTAATTTGTTACACAGAGGTAGTTAACTAATACAGGATAAGAGAGGCGTTGGTTCTAGGTACAGGAGACAGAGCAGTGAGCACAAAGACTAGGTCCTGGCCCTGTCACATGGTGGCTATTGATTCAATTCACATCCACACAAACTGGTAAAGTGAGTGTGCCTGGTAAGCCCTATGGGACAGCCTGCCACAAGTGATAATGTCAAGTGGAGACCTTGATGTACTCTAGACAAATAGAGAATTGGATCAAGTTTGTATTGGAGACTATCTTTAGAGTCCTTCTACGACTTTGTAATTCCCCCCAGACTTTCATGAGACATTTCAACTTACCCTCTCCTGGTGTACTGCTACCCCTCCTTTCTTTATCTAGCTTGACAAACCACTTCACATCAATACACTTTAAGAGTTGGCTATGAGCAAGGCCCTCAAAAATCAACAAAACACTCTTCTCCTGAAAGAGCCTTCCATTTATAGACTACTTTGTGTTGGGAATATACTGCATTTGCCTCTAATCTCAAAGGTAGAGGTTAACTGTAGTCTGTTTCAGTGGGACCTGAGATTCTGCATTTCCAGGAAGCTCTCGGGTGATGTTGCTCCTCCTGGTCCTTAGACCACACTATGAGTACAGAGAACTAAGGAACTCTGCAGGTGTAGTGATAAAAGATAGAACAGGGTACCTAACAAATGCATGCACTCTCAGGATCAAAGAAATTCAGTGACTCAGATCAAACCACGTGTATAGATTCTGGTTCAACTTAGGTCCAAGATCTGTCCCAGCCACCATGACTGAAACCTGTAGGATGTCTTGATCTTGTGTGTCCCTTGCCTGGGAGGCTTTCACAGAGGAATAGGCAGGATAACAAGGGCGGGGGGGGGGGGGAGTTCCATTTTGTTCAGTACATAGATTAAATATTCTAGGTTGGAAAAGACTTTCAAAGTCTTCTTCAGTCACCTAACCTGTGGTTGAATCACCCCCATGTCATCCCTACCAAGTCACTGTCCAAGCTGTGTTCAGATACTTCCATTGATGATAAGCTCACCACTTCCCAAGACAGTCCATTTTTTGTTTGGGCAGTTGTGATAGCAGGAAATTCTACAGAATAAAACACATTTTTTTGTCTTCGAGTTTCCAATGACTTTTGAATGTTAGAATCATTTAAAACAAATCTGTAGGTCTTTATATATTTAAAGAGGGTTCCCTAATTTGTATCAAATTTTCCTTTCTACAGGTTAAACATCACTGGTTTCTTTACCTGGTGCTGCTTTGTCATGTAGCTTGGTCTCAGACGATTCTTAGATTGTCCCACTGAACATATCCCAGTGTTTCCATCTGAAAGAAGAGACTCTAGATGAAGTGGGCAGAAAACCAAACTTTAAAGGCAATTTTCTAACCATAATGAGAAACATGGGTTTAAAATTCAGAATACTGAGTTCTAGAGGTTTCTAGCCACACTGGGTGAGGGCCTTGCTTACTCTACACTCCTGTGAAGTACACTTAGCTTTAGGCCCCTTTTTACCTGAAATAGGCAGGTGCAGGTGGTCTCTTCTCTCAGGTCACTGTTTCTCAAAGCCATGTCCTCAGAACACGTGGATTAGAATCACCTGGGATCCTTTTTTTAGATAGAAATGCTGATTCATGAGTCTCGGCTTGGTCCTACGAAATCACCAGCTTTTGTGGTAGGGACAGCCGAAGCTACATCTAAACAAACTGTCCAGGAGGTTCTGCTGAATGTGAAGGGGAGAACCACGGCCCCAGCCTGTAGTTGGGTCTCTACTTGTCTTGCTCTTCATTGCACCAAATGAACGGGAGTAATAGGAAAGTTCAACAAAGAAAAACGTCAAATGCTTCGGGAATTCTTTTTTTTTTTTTTTTTTTTTTTTAAGCCAAAAAAGCTAGTTTTTTTCTTTAATGTGTAAAGCTGTGCCACAAACTTCTAGCGGGTGCCAAGAGTCACCTGCCACACTCGCGCGCCCTATGCTTCAGCCCTAACCGCTACTGGTTCTGTGCCGCCACAGGCCCCGGCATCAAGATTTGGGATTTAGAGGGGAAGATCACCGTAGACGAGCTGAAGCAGGAAGTTATCAGCACCAGCAGCAAGGCAGAACCACCCCAGGGCACCTCCCTGGCCCGGTCTGCTGGTGGCCAGACTCTGCTGGCTACACAGACAACCTGGTGCGAGTGTGGCAGGTGACCCTTGGCACCCGCTAGAAGTTTGTGGCACAGCTTTACACATTAAAGAAAAAAACTAGCTTCTTCGACTTTTTTTTTTTTTTAAAGTGCTCGCTTCGGCAGCACGTATACTAAAATTGGAACGCTACAGAGAAGATTAGCATGGCCCCTGCGCAAGGATGACACGCTTCAGGAATTCTAAGAGGGAGAGCGAGGAAGAGCAAAAAGAAGGAGAACAAAAAGGAGGAGGAAAAGAAAGGAAAACTTGCCTTCCTTGCCTCAGAACCCGGGACTCCCCTTCCGCAGTCCTGTGACTCCCGCGGGTACTTGTGTTTGACGTCAGCGCCCGCGGCCGGTGGGGGCTGGAGCAAAGGACCTCGCGCTCCCTCTAGAGGCCGATAGTAATAAGGGCGGCCGGTGGGGGCTGGAGCAAAGGACCTCGCGCTCCCCCTAGAGGCCGATAGTAATAAGGGCGGCAAGAGCGGAGGCGTAATTGAAAGTGAGGGAAAAAGAGGGGCCTGTTAACTCACTCACTTGGTATCATTCACTGTATAGCCTTCTAGCGCATCGGTTCTCAAAGTGTGGCCTGGGGAACCCAAAGAGGGGGCCATAAAATCAAAACTCTTTTCATGATAATACGAACATTTGCCTTTTTTATGCTCATCACGAATATACAGAGATTTCTGGAGGCCACACAACATGTTGAACTCTCAGTAGATGGAATATAGAAGCATCTATGAGAAGCTGATTTTCTTTTTAATTAAACCATACATTAAAGTTATTTAAAAACAATATGGCCAGACACGGTGGCTTACACCTGTAATCCCAGCACTTTGGGGGGCCGAGGTAGGTGGATCACCTGAGGTCAGGAGTTTCAGACCAGCCTGACCAACATGTAATCAGACAAAACGTTTTTCTCTTGCCATAGATGTTGGGTTTATTCATACACCACTGCTTCACCAGATGGGAAAAAGGAGTCTAGATTAAAATGCCACCTAGATGAGGGTTTGAGCAGTTCGGGAGACATAAAGTAATTCCATTGCTACATAAAGTAATGGAATTACTTTATGTAGTAATGGAAGACACAATGCATTTTATGATATCCTGTGTCTACACAGACAGATCTCAAATATAGGCATCAAACCAAAGAAACAGGCAGAATGCACTTCTGGTTCCAAAGAGTCCAGTTGAAAGCTAAGGATGTGGGTTAGGGAGGGGGATTGAGGCCCATCAGGAAACACAGCTGGGTGTGAGGGTCACAGGCGAATTTTTATAGCCTCCAGCTTCTCTCAGAGGATCGATTCTTAGCATGACAAGCAGGTGCCAGGGGAGGAGGAAATATAGCTAAGTCCTTGGTCTTCAAATGGGTCCAGAGGTACAAAAGTGAAAGGGGTGATGATCAGTCAACAGCTCTCAAGCTGAAAGAACTCTCAAGCTTTCAGATAACCTGCTGCCCTGAAGTTTTGAAAAAACTTAAATGTTGCATTAGGTTTTTCTACTCAGATATTATGTTCAGTGTTCCTGACAGAACTGAGCCCACACTGTCCATGGCAGTAACCTTGATAATATATCCTTCCTTATATTGATTTTCTCCTTCCCTGCTCATTCTTCCAGTTCTCTTTCTCCTATTTCCCAGGATTGCCTCCCATGTTCTACACTCAAGTTCTTTTCTCAGGCTCTGTTTTTAGGGAGAAGCCAAACTAACACAAATGTCCTGAGAAGCATGCCTTTTTAAACAGATTCAGATGATGTCCCATTAAAAGCATATTAAGCAAGGAGTTTAAAGTTAGAGAACAAGTTCATTCCCATAAGGTTTTGTTGCTGCTGTTGTTTTTTCTGGCCACCAAAAAAAAAAAAATTTAGAGATTCCTGAACGCTCTACCCAAATTGATGTGCATGACTCAGTTTAATTTTGTTAGTTTTTGTTACAATTTTCTTTTTGTTTTTTTAGAGTCAGGGTCTCACTATGTTGTCCAGCTGGTCATAAACTCCTAAGTGCAAGTGATCCTCCCACCTCAACCTCCCGAGTCACTGGGATTTCAGGCACGGGTCACTTAACTTGTCTTTTATTGGCAATTTTCAACCATAAGTTTTTCCCATCTGCAGATTCTGACCTTGGAAGTTTATTGTTAATAAAATTTCCCCCAACTTCAAGGGCAGCTTCTCTGACAACTGGGCTTTTGGCCAGCATGGCCTGTCTAGTCATCCTGGAGTACATTATGACCAGAAACCAGAAATAATCAAGTTTGTAAAGAAAACTTTCTAAAGAAAGACTCTATTTCTTGGCTCTTTTCTTGGGCCACTATAAAATCTTTCTTTGACTTTTAGCCAAGTCAGGAATATTCTCTTGGTGTCTTTGGTATCCCAGTTTTGGTCTCTGTAAAATATTACTGAACATAAAGATTTCCAGGGGAAGCTTTCAGAAAAATCATATTACGATATTCATATCTGGCCCTACTTAAAAGCTGGATTGCATTGAGTAAAGTGAGCACAGATACTTTCCAATAGTCGGTGTCCAAGTTCTCACTAAGCTGACTTGAAATCCGTCATTGGGGGTGCACAATGTATTTTCCCTTAGAAACAGTTATTCCTGGGGTGACGGATTCATTGTGATTTGCTTGAGCCCCCTTCCCAGTTTTGGTACTAAAATTTCCATGTTCCCAAATACCCTGAGCCCTGGGAAACCAGGACAGTTGATGGCACTACATTTTTCTGATGATTATGTTTCTAGATTCACTCACAGAAGCCTAATTAACCCTTGATATAGCTGAAATTTAGTCCTGGATCATGGTTAAGATAAGGTAGGTACTGTGGTAAGTTTGTGAATTTCAGGACTGATTAAGAAAAAGATGAAATGGCAATATTGCACAAGAAGGTTATTCGACAGTGCTGTGATGGGGTTGCATAAGAAAGGAAGGAAGTTCCTCCTAGAAGACTGCTGTGGGCATGAAGCCACCACCCGGAAGGGAAGAGGGCAAGGGAGCTCTGAGTGGCAAGGGAAATGGGAGAGAGGGTACATGTGTCTAGGCAATGTCACTCAGCAGCAAGGTGGAGAGTCTCTGTTTCAGAGAGTTCTGAAGAGTAGCAGCTCTGGTGGGGTTTTTAGTAGCTAAGTAGGTTTTACCTTATATATGGCTAGCAGGTATTGGGTGCAGTTTTGTGGGTGTGTAAAGAAGTCAGGCTCTAATTGTCTAAAAATAGGCTAATTGGGGCTATATTTAAAGCAATATGTGTAAAAACTTGAATTGGTGCTGGAGGGCTTTGAGTTCCTGGTCCTAGCCTGCTGTGAAGAGGTGAACACTTGAGGACCGAGAAACAGGGCCTGTCTTTAACCCATTTACATCACAAATGCATTCAGATTCCTTTTTGCCCAGCAAGGTGATCCTTAGAGTGCCCTTCCAAACCTGAGATTCTTGATTTCCAAGCCTTGACTCTTAACATCTGTCATGGGACCATTACAACATCATCTGCCCAATTTCCCTGCTGATAATTTCACCTGACTATGTGATCCTGGAAGAGGGGATAATGCCCATTAACTTGTAGTTGGTTTATATAAGCTAGAGTAAGCTGTATGATTTGAATCATGTATGTGTCCATAGGAATCTAAACTAATTGGCCAGCTGTAAGCAGTGTTGTTGAATTTCGTACTTGGTGAATATGCAAAATGGTTTGAATTACATTCAAACTTCCTAAGTTAAATTTAATATGTTCATGGACATTCATTATTTTCTCGTATTTACACAAGTTAGAAATACCTTTCCAATGGACAAATCTTTGCATTTTATCTTCTAAGGAGCTGAAGTGATTCAAGCAAGACATTTGGAATTTCATAATTTTGTGTTTTTTTCCTTGTGAAATTGTCCTCAGGACATTAAATAAGTGATATTTGTTTGCATTGAAAATATAATTTTATTTATGACATCTATTAGAGAATTTGGTTTAAATCTAGGAAATTATTTTCTTCACATAAGACAAAATATGTCCAGTTTCTTGCTATAAAAATAATTATCTATGTTTTTGTACATTTAAAACCATGAATTTCTATTTCGCTAGTTGTCCAAATAAAGTTAACTAATGCTTTTCTCTGCCCTTGGGCCTTTTGGAGGGAGACTTTGGTCGTTCCACTGTGGTTCATTCAAGCTTTGGCCACTAGGTGGAGCACTGGTTAAACATTGGCTCCACCTCCCCGGCCTGCTTGCACCTGAAAAAAACGCCAATTTTGAAATGTTATCAAAAGGCCAATTTCATTCACTTTAAAATAATTGCATTCAGCCGGGCGCGGTGGCTCAAGCCTGTAATCCCAGCACTTTGGGAGGCCGAGGCGGGTGGATCACGAGGTCGAGAGATCGAGACCATCCTGGTCAACATGGTGAAACCCCGTCTCTACCAAAAATACAAAAAATTAGCTGGGCATGGTGGTGCGTGCCTGTAATCCCAGCTACTCAGGAGGCTGAGGCAGGAGAATTGCCTGACCCCAGGAGGCGGAGGTTGCGGTGAGCCGAGATCGCGCCATTGCACTCCAGCCTGGGTAACAAGGGCGAAACTCCGTCTCAAAATAATAATAATAATAATAATAATAATAATAATAATAATAATTGCATTCATTCTAGCATTTGTCTCATATATATATATGTGATAAATAATTTTCTATGCTGTCCTGTAGGAAAATAGTC